GCTGAAGGGACATGTGAGGTAGAGAAGAGGGATACAAAAGGATAAAGGAAGAAAGAAAAAGAAAAGAGGGACTGATTATCTGGGCAGTCCGGACGTGCACAGTGGAACTATCTTGAACTTTCTCTGCAGCTGTGAAAGCAAGATGCCATTAGGTGGTACAGAAGCATTCCAGTTATTTTTCAGCTGTTGTTTGCTGGGATTTTTTTTTATTGCTTTTTTGTTTATTTATTTGTTTTCCTTCTCTCTTATGAGAGTGTTTTCTCGTCTTGTCTTACCTGTCAGGAGACAGCACCTGTGTCCATTCAGTCCAATCACAGTAGTACGTTCTTCAGTGCCACCTAATGTGCTACAGTCAATACCAGCTGCTATCCATCAGATCAACTACATCAAACTTCACAAACAGTGAACATAGAACAGCACACATGCTCATTTATTGATCACACCCACCAGAATTGAGTTGTTGAGTACCTAACTATACACCAATAATGGAAGCCATATATTAAACTTGCAGAATATAATAGCAACCCAGTGCCTCAAAAGTGGCAATCTCCATTCAGATGAAAAAACAAGAGAAGCTCAAATAAACATTCAAGGAGCAGAGCTAAAAAATGTTTTGAGGGAAACGAAAGATACTAGAACTATAATAATTTGGTACCTCCAAACTATTAACAGAAAGGTTGAGTAAAACAAAGAAGAATCCATAAAAGAACTACAGGAATAGTCAAACAAAATAGATAAAGGATTGGAAACAATACAAAACCTGAAAGCAGAAATCTAGAAGATTTATATTAAGATATTAGAAAACAACAGTACACTGAAAGGGCAAAGGAGTAGAGTTGAATCCATGGAAGCCATAATTAGTGATGTTGAAGGTAAATCTTTCAATAATAGTAACCTAGAACAATCATAAAAGGAATGAAAAATCTGAAGAAAGCCTAATATTCACATGGGTCAACATGATGAGAAATAACCTACCAGTAATCAGAATTTCAGAACAGAAAGAGACAAAGAAAAGCACAGAAAAGATAGTCAAAGAGAAGAGTATAAGAACTGTTCTCTAACATAATGAAAAGTGAGAAAATAAGTTTTGAAGAAGCTGAACAAACCCCAGGCAGGATAGATCCCCAAAGAAAATAACCAAAACATATCATAATCAAACTCTCCAAAATAAAAGACAAGAAAATAATCACAAAAGAGGCTTGAGAAAAATGAAATGTTATCTACAATGGAAAACCAATAAGATTAAGCTCTGACTTCTCAGCAGAAACTGTGAAAGCAAATAGGCAAAGGGGAGACATAGACAAAACTTTGAAAGAAAAGATAAAAAATAAAAACTGCCAACTAAGAATGATATACCTATATAAGACCATAGATGGAATCCTGAGCCCCATCCAAAATCATATGAAGTGGGAAATTTCCACTTGAAAGGACAAGCAGACCAGCCTGGAGTAGCTAGAAGAAAAGAAGATACTTCTTGAAAGAAAGACTAGAATGAAAAATTAAAACAATAACAGCAGTCTGATGATTACTACAAGAACAAGCAAGTTGTTTGCCTGGGACTCGTCAAGGCAAGTGGTCGGGTCCCCTCAGGGCAAACCACCTTCCAAGACTAAGACTCAAGGGGAATACATGTGCAGGCATGTGGTTTTGCTGGTGACCACATTGGTCACTGATAAGGGGAAGAGGGGGGAAAAACAGCAATGAAATCGTATGCTAAGTCTGACCACGTTCAATAGGCTCCTATCAACCTGGGTTGAGACCTGGTTGGCCAGCAGTACGGCAAGACCTGTGGACTCCTGGGTCCAGAGACAGGTACATGGCCACAGAGGACTAGAGAAGAGAGTGAAGCATCCAGCAGATATGAAGTGAGGGGAGATGCATAAGAACACTATACTTGTAGATAGAACCCACTTGACCTGGTTTCAATGGCTGGATGATCAGAACTTGACTAGAAGAAAAAAGAAGAGGGG